TGGTAGTTATGGACCCCATTTTGATGTTGTGTTTAAAAAGACAAGTGGATCTTCTGTGATTGGAGCTTGTGATGAATTAGATCAAATACTAGAACAGGGATCTAGTTTCATAGATCCATGTTTTTTTAGAGTGCGCTGCCAACGCACTGCAAAGGAGCATTTGTGATCACTTTGTTGAATGTTGAACACACATGTCCGCGACAGAAGAGTAGGTGGAGAGGTACTGCATAGTCTTCACAGTGGCTTGGCGGAACGATAGGAAACAAAATTACACGCAACATTTGTGTACATGTTAGAGAATTAGTGACTGGATTCAAGTATGATTATAAGTTAAATACAAAGTATCATCCGATGTGGCGGGCTAAGGATATAGTGAAGGATTTATACTTATGAGGACAACAAAAATCTTACCATATGATTCCAGCTTTGATGTCCAAGATTCAAGAGTAAGATTCGGGCAGTGTAGTTAATTGATCAACTTACACCAATTCTACAATTTTCCATCAAGCATTTATATGCCTCTCAGCGATACGCAGTGCTATGAAGTATTGTCAGCCGCAAGTTAGCTTGAACGCATGTCACACAAAAAACATGAAGTTTCCCTCTCAACTTTTCATGGCCACTGCTCTTGATGAAAATAGTGAAGTGGTGATTCTTTGTTTTGCTTTAGCTTTGATTGAGAACATAGAAAATTGGACTTGGTTTTGCACTTTACTTCGGGTTTCCATAATAGGTTTATCTGATCCAAATATTTCTTTGATTTCCGATAGACAGAAAGAACTTTTAGTTGCAGTGAAAGATGTATTTCCAAATTCTATACATGGTCATTGTGCTTTTCATCTGAAAAGTAACATTAAGTATGCATTTGATGAATCCTATGAGGATTTTTTTTTTGGCCTTGGTATATGCTGAGACCAAGACTTGATTTGAGGAACAGATGAAGTCTTTGTCACAGACAAAAAAAGGAGAAGATGCTACACAATATATTAGACAGATAGATCCGCAACTATGGTCTAGACATGTATTTTCACTACCTCGATTAGGCAAAGTGACTTCTAATCCTGCCGAACAGATAAATTTGGATTTGTTGGAGATACAAGAGTATGCTCCTTTCAAGTTGATTGTTTTGTTGTGTGATTATATTCATAATATAATCCCATATTTTTTGACGTTCAAAAGCTGCCAGAAGAAAGTCTATTTTGACTTTCCAGCAAATTTTCGACACAAGGAGAACCTGTAAACTTATGGACAATGGCAGATTGCTGACGACATGAAGTATAGGGCCAAAGTTTCTACTACAGATGGTAGTGAAGAGTACGTTGTTTTATTGTCACCGACAACTACATGTTCTTGCGTGGAGACACAAGAAATGCTTTGGCCATGTGAACGTCTCATGGCATGGGATGACAAAGAAGGTAAAGATTTTCATAGATATTTCCATCGTTGTTGGAAAACTAAAAGTTTACGTATGTTATATGTTCCAACCGTTCCAATTTTAATGAGTCTTCACCTAGATGCTCATGAAGATTGTTCTCACATGCTCTAGCTGTAAAAAGAGTTCGTCATCGGGGTGAAAATCGATAATGATAAAGGTTTGCGCAAACCTTCATCAGAACTTGCAACCGACGAGTTCTATGGAGAGGGTGATCAATTGTTTCTTAAGTACCCCATTTGTGATGATGTTGACGTGCAACAGATTCTACCCGGTGGTAAACAGATACAAATTGTAAAACAAACAGAAGCAAGTCGAGCTTTGAAGAACCAAGATTACAGCGCAAAAAGTAAGTGTTTCAAATGCAAGCGATTGGGACACAATGCCCGTACATGTGAAAGAGGAGCAGCTGTTGATGTTGAAGACTTCATGGATGAGGAGACTTAGAGTGTGATATCATCATTAAAGCTTTAATCTTGTGTTCCCACATGTTCTGTTGGACTTATTTCAAAGGACATCTATAGTGATTCAGAAGAAATATCTGAAAACTCCATCAGAGTAACTTCAGATGACTTTTGTAGTGATAGTACTGGAGAATATTTTGATGACAATGATGATATGCTCAATTTGATGTTATGATAGAGCCTATAGACTAAAATATACAGACATACTTAGAGAGTATGATCTAGGTTTGTTAAACTCTTAGAAACTGTACTTGGTTTTGTTGAACACCTATCTTTCTACGAATCTGCGGTGTATTTAAAGTTATACTTGAAATCCAACACGTTATATTGGTCTAAAAGCACCTTCACATCTTCTGAGTAGCTCATGAAGTCAAGTCTTGCGTAACTGTATTCAGTTGAAGAAGACTTTCTATATTTTTACTGAAGTTTTTCTTATGACTGCAGAAACTCAGAAAACTCAGTCACTTCTTGATCCCTCGTATTCTCATTAACATGGCAACATGACATGTCAACATCTTTCATGGTTTTAAGATGAGCTAAAATGTGCAGATGTTTAACTGGTCATGCTCTTCAATTTAGCTCTTTCGATTACAAAAGTGCGAATGCTTTCATGCCCTGTCAACAGGTCCATGACTACCATTACTTGCACAAGTAGGGCTCATTCGATAGGAGATGTCTTGCGGATGATACGCTTTGGTGATGCCAATGTGATGGTTGCTGGTGGTTTGAAGTCCAGCATTGATGCTTTATTCATGGCTGGTTTCTGCAGGTCTGAATGTCTTTGATAGATAGGTGCTACTGAGAGGGGTCTATCTAGCACATGGAAGAAAACGTTGATTTCATCTTCTGCACACAACACTTCTCAGTCAGTCTTTGCCAAATTTTCAGCTTGAATAGATGAGTTACCTGATGTTTTCTAACTGTTGATATATCTTATTCCAGGTTCTACTTTGCTTCCTCAAGTATCCCTTCATGGTCATTGCGTTCCTCAGCTATTTTACTATAGCACTCAAGAGGAAAATCAAACCTACAGTGAGTTGAGTCTTTGTTTGTTATGTTCACCTCAGTAAGTTTGTAAATACCATATCCTGTAGTTGATATAGTTCGTCTGTTACTTTGAGGCTAATTGTATTGGACAAGAAGACAGACTAACTACATTTTAACGATGGCCTCTCTCAATGTCTTTTCTGATACTTTTCCAGAAACAATGCAGCAGACCAGAAACCAAAGTTGAATATATGGTAGCAACTTGTAATTTTAAGAAGCCCATTGGGAATGCTCACCCTTGCCGACATCATAATTCTCTTTGTAAATATTTCCTCATGATTTTCTACTTCATCAAGTAGGTCGTGGACCGAAGCAATCAGATCCACAATACAAAACAAAAGAAAGTAGCACATAGCTAGTGAGATCATATGATCCTGCAAGCAGTATTACATGCCCTATCTTCATAGTTGCCTACATTTACTAGACCAACCATCAAAACATAATACAACATCAACATTGCTCAAGCTTGCATTTCTTTATGATGATCATAGAGGCGCCCAAAAATTGGAATACATCGGCATATATCTTGGCAAGGCAACATTAATTCCTTTCGCTCTTCTGTGGATACTAGTATCTAGAGTATTGCCCAAAGAGGTGATCATCCAAAACCTACACACAAGAACTGGCCAACTCCTTCTCGCCTTCTCAAGTAAAAGAATTCAAGGAGAATGGTGGAGACAGTGAACTCCGCGCTTCTCAGCATACTTCATGAGAGGGACAAGTCACTTTGGGCCAAAGATCAAACTAGAAAGGTAAGTTTAAAGTACTGTTTAGTAGTCATTAGTTTCCAGTTTGATTTGGCTGGTCTTACTCTTCTTCGATGTGTAGTGTTATTCTGCGACATAGCAAAGCAGTATGAGGGAAAGAATGTAGATGTCTTGGTTTCTGGTGCCGCTAAGATGCAAGAAGATGTTGCAACCGAATGCAAGCACCACTCCAACATGAACAACTCGAATGTCGCTTTCCATTACCATTCAGTCAGTTTTGAGCTGTAAAATGTCGTAAGCCTAGTCGCCTTGTTCATTTTGAAAGAGAATGCAAACATGGATATAAATCAGGAATAAATCCTCTTCAAGGCCATAGTTGCAACATCCCTATTGGGAGAGGAAGATATTGTGGAAGCATTAGGCTTCATAAGTGCAGCAACTTTGCAACAAAGGTACTTGCATCAGTTCTTGAGATGATGAGCCTATCAATACCACTCTCTAGTTACACTCTTCCAGTTTCTACTCCTACTTACTCAAAAATAAAGGAGCATTACAGGGGAAATATGAGTTGCATTTAATTAGAGTCACGGTATGTAAAGGCTTCTATAAAAATAAATAAAGCTCTTGAGGTTTATTTTAATTCCATTGTATTGTTTTATTGCGTAAATAAGCATGATCACCGTGATAATAAGATATTTTTTCTCTATGTTGCAAATTTCAAACTTGTATCTTTGATCACAAGTACAGCTTCAAAGCACGGCATGATGTCTCTGACCTTCAACATCATTTCGTAAAATTTCAGTTGAAAACATAATATGTGGAAATATGAATAGTGATCAATTTGAGACGCGAGCAACGAGTTTGTGAACTTCGTTTTGATGTTTTTTTTGTGCCGCTCAAAAGGACAAAACGCCCACAAATATAACTGATAGACGATGAATTGCAGTAAACCAACTTGCGCATCAAGTGTAAAATATGCATCATGTGAAATTTGACTCTGAACGAAGGATCGTATCTAACCTAATAGACACAGGAGAGTTTTCAGCAATGAAAAAGATTTAGAAAGTATCATCATCACCTATGACAACCGGATGAAGCCGGGTAGTGAAGAACAAGAACATATTTTTGTAAGAACACGTATTAGAACATATTTTTACAAGAATAGTCACAAGAACATATCTGTATTAGACCATTCACTAGAACTCATCCACGGCACACCGTCCGTTGGTACCATCGGTTAAAATAAAACTTCATGGGTCCATCACGCAAATATCTCGCCTCTTTCATCAATTCACAACGTGCGGACCAAGTGTGAAGAAAAATAGAATTTCTTTTCTCTACATTTCAAAGGCTATAATACAAGTGAAATTAATGACTGCTAACTCTTAGTAAATTCTCGAATTTGTTGTACAGCTATAGTCCTACTTTTGGCGCACATGCGTCAAACTATCTAGGGACCATGTCTACCATCGGAGTACTGCGTAAATCGGGATCACTAGACGAACAAAGACCGAATGACATGGCTGAGGATGAAACCGAAGGATTGATCTCAATGAACGATTCTGACTCGGAGATATTTCTAAGTTTCTTCAACTCTCCACTGTAACCTACAGATTCACTATCAGACACATCACTTGTAGCGTCCGAGTAAGTTTCCTTGTAGAGGAGTTCTAATTCTCGCAAAACTTCCCCAATACTGGGTCTCTCAGCTGGACTATCTTGGCAGCATGAGAGGGCCAACTTTGCAAGAGACTCTAAAACCGCAGCAGGGTATGAATCCTTGATGCGAAAATCAACAATAGACGCCATCTTACCCGCGAGATGCGAAACGTTCACCTCCCTCACTAAATTCTTTCCGTCAGATATGGGCTGCATACCTGTGAGAAGAACTAGCAAAACGACTCCGAAACTGTACACATCGCTCTTATCAGTCAACCTGTGGGTCTTAAAGTACTCCGGGTCTAAGTAGCCAGGAGTCCCCTTGACAACAGTAGAAATATAGCCACCTAAACCCTCGAAACCAGCTTCGGGTGCAAGTTTCGACAGACCAAAATCTGCAACCTTCGCCTGAAACTTTTCATCCAGTAAGATGTTGGATGTCTTGACGTCCCGGTGGTAGATAGGAGGGTTAGCTTCAGTGTGAAGGTAGTGGATACCCCTCGCTGAACCAAGCGCGATTTGAAGTCGCGTTACGAAGTTCAATGGAACCTTTGCGTGAGCTGAAAGATGATATTGGAGACTGCCATAGGCAATGAACTCGTACACCAACATCTGCTCGGTCCCGTCGTTGCAGTAACCTACGAGTGACACGAGGTTCTTGTGATGGACACGAGAGAGGAGCAGAATCTCGTTCTCAAACTCGTGCGCACCCTGATATGATGCACCTTCGGCACGCTTTATTGCCACCTTTTGGCCATCGTCCAAAATCCCGGCATACACCTTACCGTAACCACCTTCGCCTACAAGTTTGGCACTGCTAAAGTAATCTGTGGCCTTTGCCATTTCCTCGAATGTGAATGATCTCACGCTCGTCACTTGAATGCTCGAATGACTTCTCCTCCGTGTCACAGATTTCTTGGATGCAGCACTTCTTGAATCCCACTTACGTTGCTTCCAACGCATCCAACGACGGAACACTACAATCATGCATGCTGTCTTCAAGACAACGAAGGCCAGGACTCCGATCACAATGCCTGCGACTGCTCCTCTCGACAACCCACCTGACTCGCTTTTCGGAGGTTCATTGGTCACTGCGAAGGATATGAACTCATAAGGCCCAAAAAGCTTGTCCAAAGGTATCTCCCACCGAGACCAAGCCTGATACAGCCTTCTAGTTTCACTGGCGTTGAAACTAAATCCCGTGGGAAAGAGTAACAGGCTCATCGCGAGCCTAGGCCCGGGTTCATACTCAAGGTCTCGGATAGCCACTTGGTCTACGCGGAGATGTAGACCATCTGCAATGTACGATATAAACTGCTGCTTGTACGGGTCAAACACTCCAAAACTGTAACTCTTCAGCCGGGTCTTGACAGTGATCGGTGCTGCACACCTACACTTATTTGGGGCAGCGCTCGAAGGTGCAAGCATATACGGAGCAGGGCATGGTGTGCAGGAACCCTGATCGAATGCGAATACCTCGTTCAGATTTCCAACGTCGAGAAGAACACCGGCATCACTAGGAACACACAAAGGGTTGTTCTCCGCTGAGTTGGACCCAGTGCAGAAAGGATTGCCGGATAGCCAGACTTTCGTTTTTCCTTGCCCCTGTAGAGACACCAGCTTTGAACCATTGGCGAAATCAACGAAAGCATTGTTCTGGAGATCCACGAGGGAGATCGAGTTGCCCTCAGATAACATAGAACCACTTCCCAAATTGCCCGGTACTGCACCGCTCAGATTGTTGTCTCGAAGTACCAAGTACTGCAGTGACGAAATGTTCCCTATGTTCGAAGATATCCTTCCAGATACTTGGTTGAATGACAGATCAATGCTGCTCAAGTTCTGTGACAGAGTCGTGTTGGGAATTGGCCCAGTCAAGAAATTGTGACTCAAATCCAAAAATCCAAGCTGAGGTGCGCCGCTGAAGTCTGGAATCGTACCTCTTAAGTTGCAGTTCCGCAGACTGAGTTTCAGCAACGTGGGTATCTGACCGTACTCCTGGGGGATAGTAGCATCACTGTCGAATCTGTTGTTGTCGAGCTGGATGATCATGAGGTTTGGCGCATTGGCTAATTCCACTGGGAGAGTGCCGGTGAGTTCGTTGTTATCCAGAAGCAAATGGGCAACGTTCGTAAGCGATCCTAGAGAGGGAGGAATGCTACCATTCAAGGAATTGTTGTTCATGTGCAAGTGGTGAATCATTGGTAGGTTGCGATCAAGAAAGGTCTCCGGTATACGTCCTGAAATTCTATTTTGATCGATCTGGAGCCTGTGAAGGCTCGGTAGTGTGCCGAGCTCTGGTGGAAGCACTCCGGTGAGCTGATTACCACTAAGAAGTAGCAGCCTTAGATTTTTCAAGTTCCCGATGGAGTTGGGGATGCTACCCGTCAGTTGGTTCCACATGACATTGAACACTTTGATCGCCACCAAATCTCCAAGTTCATCTGCCAGGAATCCATTCAGATTGAGCTGAAGAAGACGGACCTCAGTTATGTGTGAGACATTGCTCCCTACCAAACTACTAGGATAATCGGTTTCAATGCAGTATACTCCAGTCCACTGACCACCACATGGATCGTCGCCCAGCCAGTTGGCCAAAAAATTCGAGCCATCGCCCAAAGTTTTCTTCAGTGCTAGAAGAGCCGCTGTTTCCTTCGGTTCAGTTGAGGCGAAACCAAGGCCGCTATATAGACCAAGGACAGTAAACAAAATGACGCCCCTCCAATCCATGACTTCCTTCGAGATTGCTCCTCACCTCACTGCACGCACTGCATGGCGTACGTTACATTTACTGAACCTCGCATACACAGCTTAGACAGCAAAATCTCAACTCCTTCGCTAGAGCCTGGCTGAGGCTGCGCAGTGTTCCGGCTGAAGACAGCAAAATCTCAACTCCTTCGCTAGAGCCTGGCTGAGGCTGCGCAGTGTTCCAGCTGAAGACAGCCAAATCTCAACTCCTCCTTCGCTAGAGCCTGGCTGTGGTTGCGGAGTGTTCCAGCTGAAGACTCAACTTCATGAATAGACCTGAACGTTAGCAGCCCGAAAGGAGAACAACACCTCTGTTTCCAGGCTGTTCGCAAAAGGTTTGAAGAGTCTCAAAACTCCTCAAGATAAGCAAGACTTGAAAGTAAGACACAGCGAAGAAACAGTCAATTAAGACCTCCCTCGCAAATTTCCACAATTAGGGCGGAAATCTGCAACGCCAAAGTCTCCTTGACAGAATGGACTCTAATCTACACTAAGCACCAATATCTTTTGTCCGTCCTTTCGCCGCCTGTAATATTCGGTCTACAGCCCACTCTCATGACGATTTCCGAAACGTCTGACATCAAGTTGACAGCTCTTATCCCATACGATCAGGAGGTTACAAAGTACTATTTAAAGGAACGTCGCCGATATAACTACATCCATGAACACCTTACTGTAAAGTCCTTACTGTAGTTGCCATGTCTTCACTTACATATCCAATCGTAGCAAACCCATGACTGTGGGAGCAATGTATGTAACCCGGATTTACAAGCCAAACCATGATCGGCCTGCAAATTTCATGCGTGTGGGACTGGGCCGATATGCAGAAGAAGCAACCTATTGTCTTATCCAGTGAGTTGTTCAATCGCTTTCCGTCACTTTCTCTATTATCATGCTAAATCTAAACCTGAAGTACGGATTATACTAGCAGCTGGCTCACGTTCCATCACGACTAACGTTCCGTAGAATGATCTTCCCTGTTGGCTGGTTTTAAGTCATACCGGTTGTCATGTTTATCCTTTGTCGAAACCCCTTGATCATTCCAATGGAGGCAGACCTGGGGGTCACTTAACACGCACCCATGTAGATGCTAGAGGCCAAGACACACTTCGTGTGAGTATAGTCCACTTTTAAAACGCTTGATAAAAGGATAATGCCAGGTTTACTTGCACATTTTCATTATAACGAAGGTCCAAGCTCAGGCTCTATGATGAAGCCCAATGAGCTGAACCTCAAAATGAACTGGTTGTGAAGAAACTGAACTATGTCTTTGGAATAAAGCAACAAATTTCTTAGATATCTCTGGCCTCCTTATTTGCCCGTAAGAGTTTGACTCCATGGACCTTTGACCAACTTACATCATGGTCTAGGAAACAAGTGGTAATCAGCAGGCTAATTGCCGAAGAGGACAGAGGACCAACAGATGTTTCGGGACCAATCATGCCTAAGTCTACTTGAGTATGAGACACCAACCACGTGAAGCTGTTAACTGCAGAGTGTCTTCAGTTTGTATTGGAAGCCTTCCACTAAAAAAAGATAGACGGCAACCTTTGACAAGTTGTCGGATTATACGGAGGTCACTGTGAGATTACTACCGACTTCTGCAGAGTTGACGGAAGAAGACCTCGAAATAAACTCCTCTTGGTCATGTTCTGATTCAAGTGGATCTGACCTGTCGTTATATGCTGTCATAAGTTGCAAAAGTTATACTTTAGGACATTCTCTCTGAAAAAGGTCTTTTGTGTCTTTTATGAGTTATAGTCATTGTCCATTTTAGGAACAAATAGAAGTCAAACACGAGGGTGAATCCTTGTAGAATTCAATCATATGCAGTTGCCCAGGATTATATTCAACGCCTAGATGCGGAAACTGTTCCATGTCGAACGGCCAGGGTGGATAAATGTATAGATTCCCCACTATCGTACCCAAGTCCTTCTTACCATCCCATGCTTCTGACTAATCAGATTGTGTAGAGAGGTTGCCAAGAGGACCGTCGCATATGAAGAGCAAACGGCAAGAGGAAACGGCAAGGGGCCAACAAGTGGTGGTGGCGTGAGATGGACTGAACAATTGACAGTTCAATCCATGTCACATCTTTCTTTAGAAATGAAACGTAGAGTTTAGTGTGGTTTAAACTGGTTAGGGTGATAAGGGTTAATCCTAAACCGATGGAAATAAACCCCAAGTTTCACAAGCTATCTTGGTATTCGAACACCATGAGCCTTTGAGATTCCGATTGCACGTATTTAGATATGCGGGGGGCTTGTAGGTCCTAGCTAGTAAACTTTGGAGGAAAACATGCAGGATTCGAAGGAAGTGGGTCAGTTGGATAGGCCTATATTATTCGCATGAATCTCTCGTAGAAGTTGATCCAACAACAACAATAATAGCACTACTTGGGTCAAAATTTGCATAAGTAAGTAATCGTGGTATACCTCCAACTTGAGCTACACCAACTAATTTCAGTCGAAGATATTATCAGGTCCTAATTGATAACAGTAGCTGAACTTTTCACAGCTTTCATTGGATGGAGATTACCTGCACCTTTCCGAATTTTTAAAATTATCTTGGAATAGACTCACTCATGCCCAGTCTTATCCAACTTGCGAACCGGAAAGGATTAACATATTCTTCTTTTGTCTTTTTTTGAAATATGGGAGTGACACTTGCATACCGGCAGGGTCAAAGGTCAGTGGTTTAGGGTTTGAACAGATGTTTGTGCGTTTGTATGTTTTGTTGCATTCCCTCCACGTTCAATTCTATAAAAGCACCGACACCGATTGTCATATCAAGAATGATGGGTAGGCCTCATCTAGTCGTAATGAAACCAAATCTGAAACCTAAACCCTAATATTCCTTCTATAAGCGCTACCCATTTGAAGAACACTGCTTGCTTTCATTCATTTGGATGGTTGGCAATCAGATCCCCCACATCATTGCGCCTTTAGATTCTCAAGATGTGTCGCTGGCGGCTAGTGACGTTCAGACGTCTAGCCTCACGAAGTACAATAAATCTATGTTTAGTTTCTTCTTTGTAAACCCGGGTGTGTGATTCATGCACGATATGCCATTGTCGAGTGTACTGTACAAAATAATCGGACAAAAGGGTTGTAGATACGATTTTATAACAGGAATCTTTCCTATAAGAAGCCCACGGGAATGTGTACACATTCAAGGAAATCGCCAGGGTTCAAAAACGAACTCCGCGGCCTTATTCTATCAAGCCAAGAATTTCCCATCGATCTCGTCATGTAATACCCGCTGAGCTATATGTACTACGTGGCTTCTTAACTCCCTTCCGGTGTCTCTGCCTCTTCTAGGCATTCTGCGACATCTACAGGGCCACGTAGTACGATCGCTTTTATCCCGGGATCACAACACATCTAAGCGGAAAGGTCGTTGATCTTGTGATTGCACAGTATTTGGTAGATCTACAAGAAAGTTTCTGGCTCCGTTTCTTCCTCTAGTTACGCAATATGAACATGTCGGCAACGACCGGAATGAAAGCAACACTGGATCATGATCATAGCGATGCAATCGAAAAAATATATGCACAGTATGAAGTGCAGTACGCACGCCTTCCATGGTTTAAGGCCATGTGTCAAGCCAGCAACAAAAATATTTTCTAATCATTTCCTTGGAAGCTCGACACAGTTTCCGCCTTTTCCCAGAATCTTTACATGATGTTCGGTGTATCAGAAAACAGATAAGTTTGAATGACTTTGTCAAAACGCCCAATGCTATCTAATGATTTTCCTCACCATATGGTGGTTATATACACCTCTATCAAATTTTTACTTAAGATATCCGATTTGTTACTTTAATATCGTAAATGTAAATTAAATCCTCAAATCTTCATAGAACATGCATTGTGAATATTTTGATGACATTGTGTAATGCACTAGTAAAAGAGCAAAACACATGGAAAGATCTCATTGACATGAAGGGATTGAAACAAGGGACTAAGATAGTACTCTAGTATGACAAAAATGGAAAATAAGTCATATTCAACCAAATTTTATCTAAAATATTTTTAAAAAATCTATGTATAATTGAAGCACAAAATAATACGTCCATAATGGCATTACTCTTATCTGAATTGCATCAGGAATTGCTTTATGAAAATCACTAATTTAGCACGAATACTATTTTTACTTCAGATCACGTATATATTCATTATGAAAAATACTTTTGAACGAAAAATTTGAACAACTCATGCATAGACATATAGTTATCTTCACAAGACTGTTTATAATAGACGTTAATTGAATTTTTCATTTAACGTCATTTAATTCAACGAGTCCTAGCTCACTCAATCTACTTTGTTTACACTTATGATTCAAAACTCAAACATTTGCAAAAGCATAAGAGATCATTACATAACTTGTAAACTTTCATCTCTTTGCACAAATATTTCTTCACAAGACTATTATCATCTGCAATTGCAACTACTCCAAAGTCACACAATCTGTAAACTTTTATCTCTTAACACAAATAGCTCTTAACAAGACTATTATCATCTGCAATTGCAATTGTTCAAAGTCTGTAAATGCCGCTTCAATTTTTGCAACATGTCCAATAACTCCTACGACAGATGTCACATTGCACCCATATACTTTCTTCCAACTCAATGTTAGAATCAGTATACACTACTGTTCACACGACTGCATAAGTTCATAGAGCCTTGTCTATCATCCAATCTTAGCGTTTTAGGTAAACAATCTACAATCGAAATATCATTTTGTAAAGATTTCAATTGGTGAGATTCTTAAATTTCCACCTCTTGAAAATGGAATTAAAAGCACATGAACGTAAGTAACGTAAGTCCTTGTATACTGCCATCCATGTTGGCACAAAGACGGTTCAATTCAACTCAAATATCTGCTTAGTAGCAAATCTTTACTTATTTGGAGAGATGTTTGATCTTTGAATTGTCTTTAATTTCTATTATTGATTTTTTTATCAAAAAATCATCTTGTGCATGAGTTTCGATATTCTCACATATACTTCCTAGAATTCATTTCCCCTAGCCAAGTACGCAAGAGAAAATTACTATTCTTCAAAAATGAGAAAAAAAGAAGTGAAATCATTATTGATGGAGCTGTTTGAAGAGAATATTAGACTTTTTTCTTTATGTCAAAACATTTATATCAAGAGCTTTATCTTCATACTCCATCAGTGTTTTTTTGTCTTTTTAGTAGCCGCTATGATTATTCTTTAAACATTCCCCACAAAATCAAAATTAGGTATAGCAACCTTACTATGTGTTTGTTGATACATATTAGATTTAAAATTGATCCATTGCTAGTTCTTACCTTTGTGTGCAAATAACTTTCTTGAGTCTTTCAATAAATATCGTGGTAAGATTTCTTTTCTAAACGTTTTTTTATAAGAAATGTTAAAACGTGTTGTAATCAATGTGATTTTTTTTTGACATTGAATACAACACATTTTCGTGC